AAAAAAAAAAAACAAAGAAGACTTTTCGGCAACATTAATAGTTGGTAGGCTTTTTTGTCTAACACTTTTTGGCAAGAACGCTAACTGTGGGCAAATGTGGAACTGTTATTCCACCCTCTGTACAAAAAGGGAATTAAGAGAGCGATGCGAGCTGGAAAAAACTCGGCAAAAAGTCCACTTACCATTCAGGCCAAAATGTTTATCATATTTGTCACCATACTGCGAGTCTGCTGCAAATGCGCGATCGCAAAGTTGGGATGGATTATTCTTTTAAATGGCTGTCAGACGGCAGGAAGGAAGTTCTGTGGGTGTAGATATAACGAAATACTAACAAAAAATGCCTACTTTTTAACTGGAACGTAAACACTTTTCAATTTGTTTTTGCCAGCTTTTTCTAGTGGTAACCAAACCGCACAAAAGCGATCATTAGTGAACTTTATAGATAAGTCCCAACAAATTTTGGATCTTTTATCTCCAAAACCAATTTCCGAAGCCAAATTCTGAAGCTCTGAGGAAACTGTTCTTCTGTGAAATCAAGAGGTGAGTGCCTCTGCATTATTTTTACTTTACCAGTAGTGCGGCTTAAGCTCATTTATCATCACACGAACAAGTCATCTAGGAAACGGCTCCAAATTCTACTCACACGCCTGCGCTGTTAAAACTAGACGTTGAACACGACTGTCCTTATAATTCAAGACTGATATCTCCAAAACCGATTTCCAAAGCTAAATACATCAGAGCAACAGTAAGAGTAGCAAGTCTGGTGCTGTTGCTAATGCTTTGGGTAGCGCCACTACGGTGAAGCTCAAACACTTAAACAAATTAAGGTTAATATTATGTAGGTAAATTCCCGTTTTTGACTGTAAAAACCTAACTTTTCCAACTTCGCAAAAAAAAACCCTTCTATCTTAGAAAAGATAATTTTGTATTCAAGAATATGCCAACCTCAACTACATCAGCAAACGGCTGCCCCTTTCAAAACCCTAAATGATTCGTATAAGAAAGGACGATCTATGCTGCAACCTGCTGTCTCCCACATCTGCAACCTTTTCAAACTAGTTTGCCAACGATTTCTGTTTGTTCATATAGCTTAAAAAACTGTCATATGTACGCAGGTCTGAGGTCTGACATGAAGCGACAAGAGTAAGCAAGCAGCCGAAGAGTATTTTAAAAGGATATTCCATTTGGCATGGCTTGGAAAACATGATTTTAAGGACAGCAAAGTGTGTATGCTGAAAAAGTTTTGTATCCATAAACACACCCTACAAATAAAGATGTTATTCAAATTCGAAGCCAAAATATGAAACCTCAGGAGCTTTAGAAACACTCCATTTTTGCAGGAAGAGAAGGGTTAAATTTCAAATTCCAAGCAACGATCAAAAACAATTCTACTGAGATATAAGGTCCCTTCACTTTGTATGACGATATTAAGCGTAAGTGTCAGAAAAATTTTAAGTGTTGATGAACTTGTATCAATACTTGCATTGCAAACACTAAGATTTTAAAGTTCTTAATTTAAAAAAATTTGTTTAACGGGAACTCCATCTATTATTCTCAACTTCTTGTCAGCCGTAAAGAAATGCACAAAGGAAACTCTATAGAGATCAGATAAAAAAAAATCCATTTTAAAATAAATGCAAAAATTTTTTTAACACTTTTAACACATACATTAATACATTTCTATTGATAACTCAAATCTTACCAACCCCTGAACCCAGTTTTTCTATAACTCGAGCTTGAACCCCACGTGCTACCAAAGGTGTCCTTAATCCCTGCTCATGCTTGAAAGCAATCTTGTCGCAAATTTTTGGCTCAATTTGCCAAAAAAACCTCATTTTTAGCTTTTCATCTAAACCACAACTTGGCAATATTATTGAAAAATTCATTCGACGCCGGCAGCGAGTCGTTTGCAAGTAATTTAAAATTAGCTAAAAAGCTTGGCTGAGAGCAAATTTTTGCAGCGTGAATAAAGTG